AGTGCCTGGACACACCGGGGAACGGTTGTCGGGGGCGGGGGGGTGCAATAGACCCTGGGCACCAAGGAATGCTTCTCCAGCTAGGCCCAGAGAGACCTGAAGGGAGCCTCACAGCAGGAGAGAGAGCAGCGCAACTGATCCTGCACAAAATCCCCTCCCCTCCTGTGACAAAGGGAACCCCCTGCCCAGAGGAAAGGAAAGGAAAGGGGGAAAGACAGTTTGAAGCCACAGGAGCAAAATGTGGGTGAAGGGAGGCACCAGGCGTTCGAAAGCAGGCAAAGTATTCTGCCCTGCAGGAAAAAAAAACCTGCTTCACATCTCCAAATAGAAGGAGACTCCCCTACAAGAGTGGTGAAGGATTGTCCTTTTCTTTAATGGACTTCAATAGGAACTCATGAGGAGGACTGCGGTCACCTCAGGAGTCGTCGTCCAAGCTCTTTAGTTGGGCGTGGATCTGTTTCAAGCAAATGTCCCTGCGCTGGCTGAAAATGCCTGTCTCTTCCTCCCACTGACTGCTGCATACACGGACATTGCAACTGCCAGACTGCCATCACTGAACAGCAGTGTAAATATTGGGTCTCCACGTCTGTGCCTCATCCCTGGCAAGGAACATTCCCTGTCTACACAAAGCCACTGAATGACTCTAACGTTTGTGACTATTTTGACTTTGTAAGAGAGTGAGTGCAAACTCAGCATTCTCTAATTATCATACAAAACTCTCAGTTCACTTTTATTGTTGATCGGCCACGTGTCTGCGGTACATACAATGGACAGGCAAAGCCCCTCAAGTGAAACTCGGGGTGTCCTGCAGAAGGCTGGGTGCGCAGACAGCAAGAGAGAGATTGCAGGGGGGGATGGCCCTGCATTCAGCCGCCTGATCCACTTTCTTCCTCCCTCCTGAAGGCATGACGTGATCTTTCTACACCTTTCGAGCTGAATGTTGCAAGCGAAGGACCAGCTCTTCCAAGCCTCTCCCCAGATGGAGAGACCTGTACTTCTTGTTTTACATCCTGACCTGACTCAGCTAACTGCTCATCCTGCTTCACCACTTCAGTATCTGGACCTCTGCCTCGTGCATTTGACCTTGTGCCAGGAGGGACAGTGGTAGAAGTTTATTAGTGGACTTCAGGGGGGTTCAGGGTCCCTCTGTCTTGAAAGCAGGCACCCAATGATTATTGCAATGAACGTGGTTCTTCTCCTCAGCGTTGAGAACTTTCATTAATTATATTGATGAATAGTTTGGCTTCAGGTTTTCCTATTTAGAGAGAGGGGAAATCATGTTTATTAAAAAGTGGTTATCCATTTAGCCTTTGACCTG